GAAGAACTTTCCCTGTATAAGGAACAGCAAAATGTTGAAATCAAGACGATGGCTCCCAGTAACTGAATTTCTGTATTCAGTTCTAGCTGGACTGTCAAACACAGAGAATAGAGATGAAGCTGAAGAGGTCCGGCAAAGGCTAGGCCCTGGAGGTTCTTGTTAAAGTCTTACTTTGAAGGGTTCTGAGTAGAATGACAAGATCAGATCTGTGTTGCATAGGGGAAAATGGACTTGAAGAGAGCACAATTGGAGGTAAAAGGGACCAATTAGGGAGGGCAGTGGTTAAGGGAAGAGATGTAAGAGGTCTACACTAGGATAGTAGCGACAAAAATTGAAGGCCTTGTTGGGAGATAAAATCTGATTTAGTGAATGTTTAACTGAAGATATGAAGGAGAGAAAGCAGTAAAGAATAACTTAGATTTCTGGCTTCAGGGACTGAGTGAAAGTGTCATTGAACTGATAGGGAATAATACCAGGAGAGACTTGTAGGGGAAGATGAGGAGGTTCCATTTTGGACACACTGAATTTGAGATACCTGAGTTACCTAAGTGGTGTCATCTGCCAGGCCGTTGGACATCCAGGTCTTCACCATGCCAGAGGAGCCTGAACTGGAGTTATCAGCATTTTGAGAATAACTGAAGTCATGGAAGTGAAGGTGATCACTCAGGGGAAACCATGTAGAGTGTGACATAAGGACCTTGGTCAGGACCCTGAGGAATACCCAACATGTAAGGGATACACAGAACATGACTGAAAAATGACTAGAGTAAGAAAAAAACAGAAGAATATGGGCCGGGCGCAGTGGCTCACACCTGTAATCTCAGCACTTTGGGAGGCCAAGGCAGGCGAATCACAAGGTCACATGGTGAAACCCAATCTCTATTAAAAATACAAAATTTATTAAAATTTATATAAATTTATATTAAAAAAATATAAAATTTATTAAAAATACAAAAATTAGCCAGGTGTGGTGGCGGGCACCTGTAATCCCAGCTACTCATGAGGCTGAGGCAGGAGAATCACTTGAACCCAGAAGGGGGAGGTTGCAGAGAGCCAAGATCGCACCACTGCACTCCAGCCTGGTGACAGGGCGAGATTCCATCTCAAAAAAAATAATAATGTGGTGGTGTCATCAAAGCCAAGGGAAAAGCAGGGAATTGCCCATAGTGTCAAATGCTCCCTAGACAACAAAGATAAAAAATAAATAGGATCCACGGGGTTTGGTGTCCTGAAGGTCATCTGTACCGCTGGGTGACAGTTTTGATGGTAGTAGAGCGGTGGAAACCAGACTGCAGTGCATTGAGGATAAGTGGTGAAAAATGCAGAAAATGGATACAGAACAACAACATGGATTACTAACAAGATAAGGTGGCCAGGCGTGGTGGCTCACACCTGTAATCTCAGCACTTCGGGAGGCCGAGGCGGGCGGATCACAAGGTCAGGAGATTGAGACCATCCTGGCTAACACCGTGAAACCCCATCTCTACTAAAAATACAAAAAATTAGCCAAGTGTCATGGCGGGTGCCTGTAGTCCCAGCTACTCAGAAGGTTGAGGCAGGAGAATGGTGTGAACCCAGGAGGCAGAGCTTGCAGTGAGCCGAGATCGCACCACTGCACTCCAGCCTGGGCGACAGAGCAAGACTCCGTCTCAAAAACAAAAAGGTTAAGGCTCAAAATCAGTATGCTCAACAAAAGAAGCTGCCTCAAAAGAGTACATACTGTATGGCTGCATTTGGATAAAATACTAGAACAGCCAAATCTATAGTGACAATAAGCAGGTCAGTGGTTGCTGAGACCAGGTGTGGGGAAGGGGAATTGACTACAAAGGGGCATAAGATAACTTTTGGGGGTGATGAAAATGTTACATTGCTTTACTGGGATGTTTATGACACAGGTGTATGCATTTGTCAAAATTCATTGACCTGTACACCTAAAATGGGTATATTTATTATATGTAAATTTACCTTGATACAACTTATTTTAGAAGTTTCAAAAATATAGTAAGTGAATATAATTCATTCAAGTCTTTGAATAAATTCATCCATTTGTGAAGAGGAACAGCGGGTAGTAGCTGAAAAAGCATTTGAGGTAGAGGCAGAGTAGTTTTTAGAAGGAAAAGCGTATTTAAGTTATTATTACGTACATTAAGTACTATTGAAGGAAAATCCAGAGACGGGGAGCAGCTGACATTAAAGGAGGTGAGCAAGAGACAACAAAGTGAAGAAATGCAGTAAAGTACTTACCACTAGTGCTTTATCACTTATCACTAGACTAGTAACCAAACCTCAGGATTCCCAGGCTGGGACCTTCCAGTATAGAAAGTTTACTGCCAATACAGTTTGTGTTCTAGAATCGATTCTAACACTGAGTTCAGCTGATTATTGATGGTGCAACTATGAATAGGAGGTACAGGTTGGTTATAATGTGAACAGAAATGGCCTGAGAAAATTATTTAAACCATAATAACATAATACGTATATACTTCTGAAGACTGGTGGCAGTAGGGCTTAGAAAAGGGTTCATGATAAAAGGAATGAGAATAAAGTAAAAAGATGAAAACAGTAAGATTTTCTTTTTGTTGAATACTCATTATGCACCATGCAAGTGTTGGATTTTTTTGTTTGCTTGGTTTGTTTACGAGACAGTCTTGCTTTGTCGCCCAGGCTGGAGTGCAGTGGCGCCACCTCAGCTCACTGCAACCTCCGCCTCCCGGGTTCAAACAATTCTTGTGCCTCGGCCTCCAAAGTAGCTGGGATTACTTGCGTATGCTACAACATCTGGCTAGTTTTTTTTTTGGTTGTTGTTTTTTGTTTTTTTCTGAGACGGAGTCTCGCTCTGTCGCCCAGGCTGGAGTGCAGTGGCATGATCTCGGCTCACTGCAAGCTCTGCCTCCTGGGTTCACGCCATTCTCCTGCCTCAGCCTTCCAAGTAGCTGGGACCACAGGGGCCTAGTACCACACCTGGCTAGTTTTTTTTGTATTTTTAGTAGAGACGGGGTTTCACTATGTTGGCCAGGATGGTCTCAATCTCCTGACCTCAAGTGATCCACCTGCCTCAGCCTCCCAAAAGTGCTGGGATTACAAGCGTGAGCCACCAAGCCCAGCCCTAAGTGTTTTATATAAACATTATTCTCATTTATTACAACAACCTTTTTGGCCTTCCCATTTAATATAAGAGGGAAAAAGCACAGGTCAACTAAACTGCCCAAGAGCATACATCTGGTAAATTATAAAAGTAGAATCACAATGTAAATATTTCTTTTTTTCTTTTTTAGAGAGAGAGTCTCACTCTGTCACCAGGCTTGAGTGCAGTGGTGCGATCTTGGCTCACTGCAACTTCCGCCTCCCGGGTTCAAGTGATTCTCCTGCCTCAGCCTCCTGAGTAGCTGGGATTACAGGCATGCACCACCACACCCAGCTAATTCTGTGTTTTTAGTAGAGATGAGGCTTCTCCATGTTGGTCAGGCTGGTCTCGAACTCCCAACCTCAGGTGATCCGCCCACTTCAGCTTCCCAAAGTCCTGGGATTACAGGCGTGAGCCACCACGCCTGGCTTGAATTGCTTTATGAATAGTTCTGTTGAGATTGTACCTCTCCGAGTGGAGCTAAGTTATGTATTCAAAAACATTTAATACATGCAATGTGTAAGTCACTGTGGAAGGTGCTTTGGAAACTGCAAAGATCACGAATGAGACATAGTCCAGGAGAAAAGAGGTTATCTATCTACCAGAAGAAACTGACATATACCATAAAGGAGCCAAAGGTAAATAAGTGTTGGCAATTCACAGAAAGAATGATTTTTGAGGAAATAAGGATATAAGAAGCAAAGGGACCCTTTAAGAGACTATTTTATTGGTTCAGCCAAAAGATTCTCAGTGCTTGAATTAGGACAGAGGCAGTGGAGACAGAGGGGGAGGTTATTAGAGCTATTGCAGAAGCCGAAATTGCTGAATAATTGTGAAAAATAAGGAGAGAGAGGAATAGCAAATGAAGCCCAAGTTTCTGTCTTGGTTAGCAAGTGCATGGTGGAGCTATTTGCCCAGATAGGGAGTTCAAGAGGAGGAACAATTTGACAAGATTAGGAGACAGAAAGAGATGTCAATGTACTCATCCATCCCCCTCTGTGGATTATAGCTGAGCTGTGGCCATGTTCCTCAACCCAAGGGCCTGCACTGGTCAGGCCTGGGGAGGTGAGAACTCCCCACTAGAGTCTCTCTTAACCTATTCTGGTTCGGGCCCTGCCCAATTAAAACTAAAAGATAAAAAGACCTCTACTACTGAGAACCCCTAAGAGCTTCACCATCTCGACCTTAATTCACCCACACCTTTATGTATCCCTTTAACTCTCCTCAATGACCCTATTTGAGTGTGCCACCTATTTCCTGCCAGGACTGTAACACATCATATTTATGTATTTTTAAATGAGGTATGTATGTATAACTGTACTGTTAGTAATAGTGACCACTTGGTAATGGGGACAAGGGAGGAGGAACAAAGGAAAAGAGGGCTTCTCTTATTTTATAACATTTGAATTCCTTAAACAAAAGGCCTGTACTACTTTGTTGTTGTTGTTGCCCAGGCTGGAGTGCCATGGTGTGATCTCGGCTCACCACAACCTCCGCTTCCCGGTTTCAAGCGATTCTCCTATCCCAGCCTCCCGAGTAGCTGGGATTACAGGTATGTGCCACCACGCCCAGCTAATTTTGTATTTTTAGTAGAGACGGGGTTTTTCCATGTTGGTCAGGCTGATCTCGAACTCCCGACCTCAGGTGATCCACCTGCCTCGGCCTCCCAAAGTGCTGGGATTACAGGCTGGGATTACAGCCACCACGCCTGGCCAAGGCTTGTGCTATTTTTTAAATTTAAAAAAAAAAAAATTTTTTTTAAGTAGAAAAACAACATCAGTCTAGTGCAAAAAGTTCAGTAAATTCACTGAGAGTAAACATGAAACCTCCACTTAATTCCCCTAAGAACTAGTAAACAAAATTACAGAGAAAAATCTTAAACTTAAAAAAAATTTAATGGTAAATACATATTGATAGAAATTATTCAGTTCTCCTATGAATGTAGCATCCGAGGATACTCTCCATGTTCACGGCTCCCAGCCCTTCCCTCCAGGCTGATGGGGCAACGTGAGACCCACCAAGCCAGCAGACTCCTCCACTGAGCGCTCACCCTTGCCATGAAATTCCTGATGTAGGGCCACATGTTCCCGGATGCTACGCAGGAGGCAGAGATAGGTGGCAGCTTGGAAATGAAGCTCATGTTGGGCTCTGCACAACTTTTCACTGGTGACCTAGAGAAGCAGCAAGTCAGAAACACTTAACCCAGCTACAGATACAGGTCCACAGAGACAGATTTAATAAATAAGCATTCACTAGAGTGAAAGTAAATTGCACAGAGGAAATACAGACATGTATATATATACATGTATACTTAATACATCTGTAAAGGCACTCTATTAGTAAAGCTGACCTCTACTACATCTATAAAAGCACTCTGTAATTATTAGTAAAGCTGACCTCTACTTCGGATTTTTAAAAGGAGTTGCATTGAATGTTCCTGTATTCAGTCAGTACTGCAAGAAGTCACTAGTTTCAATTCCTTCATTTTACAGATGAGGAAACTAAAGCTCAGAGATGCTCAGAGGTTGGTTAATGGTAGATGTGGAAATTATAATTAGGTCACTGATCATTAATGTCACCTAAATAATATAATGTAGAACTTTCTCCCTTTCAAGCAAATAAAGGACTGTTTTATTTATATTTCTGTGACTTTGATTAATGTGGCATACACCTTTCATTACAGTGAAAATTGAAAACTTGGCTGGGCGTGGTGGCTCACGCCTGTAATCCCAGCACTTTGGGAGGCCGAGGCGGGCAGATCACGAGGTCAGGGGATAGAGACCATCCTGGCTAATACGGTGACACCCCGTCTCTAAAAAACAAAACAAAATTAGCTGGGCGTGGTGGCAAGTGCCTGTAGTCCCAACTACTTTGGAGGCTGAGGTGGGAGAATGATGTGAACCCAGGAGGCAGAGCTTGCAGTGAGCCAAGATCAGGCCACTGCACTCCAGTCTGGGCGACAAAGTGAGACTCCATCTCAACAACAACAACAACAAAAAAGAAAATTGAAAACTTACTTTGTCTGAAAAATGATAGCTTTGTGCTAAATAGTAAAAAATGAAGGTTTTATGTATAAAAGTAGTATGCTTATGTTCATATTACTTATTACAATTGGCCCTCCATATCCATGGATTCTGCATCTTTAGATTCAATCAACTTCTGATAAAAAATACTCAGAAAAAAATAAAAGGATGATCATGTCTTACCAAACATATGTTTATCATTATTCCCTAAACAATGTAGTATAACAACTACTTACATAGCGTTTACATTGCACAAGGTATTATAATCTAGAGATAACAAAGTATACAGGAGGATGTGCATAGGTTATATTGCAAATACTACAGCATTTTATCTCAGGGACTTGAGCATCCGTGGATTTTGGTATCCCTGAGCAGGGCTGGAGGGTGTCCTAGAACCAATCCCCAGAGTTACTGAGAAATAGTTGTTCTTGCTCTCACCATTTGCTTATCCATCTGAAAAATCTGGACTCATGACTTTAAGAAGCTAGAAATTCCATATCCATTCCAAAGTCCCCAAATGACTCTAAACCTTTTTTCTTCATCATACTTTTGAGATTCACTGCACCCTCTTTGACTAGTTCTGTATTCAAGACTGTGAGAAAGGGGCAGGAAAAGTGAGATGGGGATGTGTACATAACTCTGAGTGACTAAAGGAGCCATGTCCAAGTGTGGATTAATCTGGGTACCACTGCCTACATAATCTCCACCCCCACCTTTTTTTTTCGTGAGACAGGGTCTCACTTTGTTACCCAGGCTAGAGTGCAATGGTGTGAACATGGCTGTTGATCTCCCTAGCTCAAGTGATCCTCCTGCCTCAGCCCCGCAGGTAGCTGGGACTACAGATGCGTGCCACCATATCCAGCTATTTTTTATGAAAACAGGGTTTCACCATGTTGCCAGGCTGGTCTTGAACTCCTGGGCACAAGCGATCCACCCACCGCCTCTTCCCAGAGTGCTGGGATTACAGGCGTGAGCCACCACTACTGGTCTAATCCCCTTTCTCTATTTGAATATCTAGTGTTAGAATCTGAAAACTAGAATGTGTGTGGCTTCTTGGTTTTTGAGACAGAGTCTCGCTCTGTGGCCTATGCTGGAGAGCAGTGGTATGAACATGGCTCACTGCAGCCTTGATTGACTTTCTGGGCTCAAGTGATCCTCCCACCTCAGCTTCCCAATTAACTGGAACTAGAGGATGGGACACCACACCTGGATAATTTTCAAATTTTTTGGAGAGGAGGTCTCACTACACTATATTGCCCATGCTGTTAGAATGTGGGTTTCAGGATCTGCAGATCATGTTGAAAGCAACATTCATTAGCTGCTTAAAAACATTATTAATCTGCTTTAATACAAACTTAACTTTTTAGTAATCAAAACTTTATGAGAAATCAACACCAATATCAAGCATTAACAAATCATAGCATCCATTTCTATTAATATATAAGCCTAAATGTGTGGAATTTGACATGGGAATTCTAGGTTAACGTAGGATAGAATACTGCCCTTGATTTGGTTGAGCCTGAATCATGAGGACAGAAGGGTCAGCAATAGACAGGAAACAGTAAATAGATCACAAGAACATAAAAGAGATCAAATGTTATAGAACACTGCATTTTCCCTGTGAAGGGAGGTTTCTCCCTAATAGAATCCCTTCTCCAGAGGGAAAGGATAGAGAAAATGGGATGGCTGAGTTAGCTCTGAGCCTGAAGGAAATAGAAACCATTTCCCCTATGCTCAAGTGCATTCCAGAGTGGTATTTCCGGAATGTACCGTGAATTTCAGAACCATTACCAAGTCTCTCTCAAGGGTAATGGTATCCCCATAAGGTACAACTATAATCATGTCACCTCCTTAAAAATCTTAGAATGGGGCCGGGTTCGGTAGCTCGCCTGTAATCACAACACTTTGGGAGGCTGAGGCAGGCGGATCACCTGAGGTCGGGAGTTCAAGACCAGCCTGACCAACATGGAGAAACCCGTCTCCAAGAAAAATAAAATTATCTGGGCATGGTGTCGCATGCCTGTACTACTTGGGAGGCTGAGGCAGGAGAATCGCTTGAACCTGGGAAGCGGAGGTTGCGCTGAGCCGAGATCGAGATCGCAATCTTAGAATGGCTTCCCATTACACTTACAAAAAAGTTTAAATTCTTGTTCCGCCTACCACCTCATCTACCTCCACTTCATCCACCACACCCTAGGGCTAAACCACTCTCAATTGGCAATTTTTCTCCCCTTTGGCTTTCAATTGTTTAGCTTTTAAATCTGGACCCTAACCCCAATTTACTTGCTAACTCCAAATTAGCCCTCAGGTCCCTGATTAATTTCCTCCGGAAAACCTTCCCTAACTACCCCTTCTTTATACCCCAGCCCCTGTTGTCTACACCTTGAGCACTTATTTATCCTAAGTGCTTTACTGTATTGCTCCCTCAGGTGGGGAGCAAGCTTCTTAAAGGACAGGACCCATGTGCATCTGATTCTTTCTATTTAGACTAGGTTCCTAGCACAACCCCTAAGTTATCACCTTTTAAAAACTAGGTGAATTTGAGTTCTAAGATTTTACATTCTGACGTCCATGGCTCAGAAATTCGACAGTTGATCGTTCTCCCTTTCCCAACATTGCTCAAGGGCAGCAAGTTTCCTTCCCTAAAGCCCAGTTTTTCTTTTCCGTCTCAAAAAGAAATGCTTCTTGGAATAACTTTTCTAGGGGACGGACGAGGAGATTGTTGGCCAAATGCTGTGGCTTTAAATCTAGTGACAGTACACCCTTCAAGTCCATCTTCATTCTTTAATCCCCAGCATTTCCTCTATTCCACTTTCCTGACTTTACCCTCCACAAAGGAAACAGACCAGCCAATGAAATCCTTCGGGACGGGTCCGCCCCTCTGCAGGACAGACTGACGTGCCCAGAGCGACTCTGCGCCCCCGCCGGTCCTTTGGTCCCCGAGTTTATGCCAGAGCATGGAGCCTAGGGCCTGGGTTGGTTTGGTCAGAACCAGGGCTCCGTGGGAGGGTTGGCCTCAGAAATGCCGTAATTAGACACCGTGCTCCCCATCCCAGCCCAGACCCGACTCTTCCTCCCTCCCCAGCACGCGGAGAACCTGGGACAGGGCTCCCGTACCCGATGTGCACGGAAAGCCTTCACAAGGTACCGATAGGCCGCGGTGTCGCGATAGGGTCGGCCGGTGGCCGCGCTCAGGTAGCGCAACTCCCGCAGAAGTCCTCGCAAAGTGCGCGCCGGGGACCCTAAGGCCGCCATTTTCCTGTCCTTCTCCGAGCCTGGTGCCCGACGGCGTCCTACGACCCTGCAAAACCCCTCCTCCCGGCCGGGCGCCTAATGGTACGGTCGGACGACTACCGGCTCCTCCTATCGACTGACTAGCAGTGGAACCGCTCACTTGTCCGTTGTACCGAGCCTTATTAATCGAAGGCCGAGGGGCGCCCTAACAAGAAAAGCAAACAAAACCCAAGCGTTAACTGACGCTACCAGGTCCTCTAACCCACAACAAGGATTTGGGTAAATAGGGGCCTTTCTTCACGACGTCATTTAAGATGCCCGTTAGCCGACCAACCGCTGAGTCTCAGGAGGAGCGGGCCCAGCGCGGGGTGTGGGTGTGGATTTGATACGGAACACGCTGAGAAGACATTTTAAAATGATTTATAGAAGGGATATCAAAAGTCAACGTACTGACGTTTCCCCAAATCCCAGGGCACCTGCGGCTCAGAAAAAGGACATGGGAGTGTGCAGATTCTCGAAAATTGCAGCTAGTAAAAACACAAACACACGCGCTTCCCATTTAAAAAAAAAAAAAAAGTAAAGTTGGCATATTTCGCTTTGTTTAGAAAGGTAAAAATGTACTTGAAAGGCCAAAAAATCTCAGGCCACCCCAGATGGGACTCGAACCCACAATCCCTGGCTTAGGAGGCCAATGCCTTATCCATTAGGCCACTGGGGCTTCTGTGAGTGACGCGCTCAAACAACATATTCAATTATTTTCCTCTTTGGTACGTCATCGTCATTTCATTTTTGCCTTACCCTATCCCACGAAACCACACCTAGCGCCCACGTGAGGGGTGACGTATGCTGGGACTTGTAGTTAGAGAACAAAAGTCCACATTACTGCGCCAAACGCTTTACCCTCGAAACTGCACCGATGCTCCGGACGTTGAACGGGCACGCGCACGCGTTTGCGTACGCGCTTGCCTGCGCAGTAGTCCCCGCGCCTGCGCAAAAGCAGGCATACGCCGTCGCGGAGCACGCGCGCTGGGCAAATTGGCCGGATATTCGAGACTCGCCCTCTGAACGTCAGCCCTGTTGGGTTTTTACCGGAAACAGTCTGACCTTTTCCGGTGTTGCGACTTTCCGGGTGGAGATTTGCTCCAGCGGCCGTTAGGTGGTGCCTGCCGCGGTCAGTTTCTGCTTCCGGTTGAAGCGTTGAGGCCATTTCCGCAGGCCGAGCGCGGTTGCTTACGCCTGTAATCCCAGCATTTTGGGCGGCCGAGGCGGGCGGATCAGCCTCAGATCATCTTAGGTCGGGAGTGTGAAACCAACCTGACCAACACGGAGAAACCCTGTCTCTGCCAAAAATACAAAATTAGCCGGGCGTGGTGGCGCATGCTTGTAATCCCAGCTACTCGGGAGGCTGAGACAGGAGAATTGCTTGAACCCTGGAGGCGGAGGTTGCAGTGAGCCGAGATCGCGCCATTGCACTCCAGCCCGGGCAACAAGAGCGAAACTCCATCTCAAAAAAAAAAAAAACATGTGCCGTGTCCTTTGAATTGGTGGGTCAGCGATAAACATGGGAGAGCGGGGAAGTAATAGTACATTGATTAGGAATTAATTTTTAAAATTAGCAGTTCATTTTTTGGTTCCGTCTCTAATTGTATAACTTGAACAAAACACTTCAGAGTCCCAGTAAACTTACCCTTACTTATAGTATCACAGGGGCTTCCCATTGTCCCTAAGTTCAGACGACATAAATTGATCCTCGCTTATATCTTAATCTTCATCTCTCCGCTTCTTGTCACCCTCTGCTCCAGGTATCTCCACTTTCATTGTCTCTTCCCCACCACACACCTTACCTGTTACTCCCTCTGCCTGAAACTTAACCATTTGTGTTAATATGCCTCTTTACCCTTTGGGCTTCAGCTTATTCCAGAAGTGTAAGTTAGACGCATCTCTAGGCCCTTGAGGTCAATACCGCAAGGTGAAAATTACTCATTTTATAGAATGAGACCACCACTTCTCCTGCTGTTTTTCCCAGCTTTTCCCCCTCTCCCCTTTTCCCTAGTTTATAAGACAGAAGAAGGGGGAGAAAGCAAAAGGTTGGAAAGAAACAGAAGTAAGATAAATAGCTAGACGACCTTGGCACCACCACCTGGCCCTGGTGGTTAAAATAATAATGATAACATTAACCCCTGACCAAAACTACTAGTGTTATCTGTAAATTCCAGACATTGTATGAGAAAGCACTGTAAAACTTTTTGTTCTGTTAGCTGATGCATGTAGCCCCTCGTCACGTTTTCCACGCATGCTTGATTTATCATGACCCTTTTACATGGATCTCTTAAAGTTGTAAGCCTTTAAAAAGGCCACGTATTTCTTCTTCAGGGAGCTCGGTTCTTAAGACGCGAGTCTGCCAACGCTCCCGGCCGAATAAAAAAACCTCTTCCTTCTTTAATCCGGTGTTTGAAGAGTTTTGTCTGCGGCTCGTCCTGCTACAATTTCACCTCCTCTGGTCCCCTGTTGCTCCCTTTATTTACTCATCATAAATAACTCTTAATGTAGGTACATGGCCACTACTCCATGCTGTAATTGTCAGGCTCCTCCATCAGACTGGGAAATTGTTCAGCTCCGAAAGCCCTGTGCCTAACAGAAAAGCCTGTTTCTTCACCAGGCTTTACTCCTTGGTAGGATAGTCATAACAGCTTAGTCTGAAGCTCCTAAAGGGATTGGCACTGTCTGGCCCCAATGGCTAGGAGACATAAGCTACTGAGCAGGAATGACAAATGGAACATCAATTGTTCATTAATGAGGAAAGCTGACTTGCTTGGAAACCTGGTGAACTGGACAGCACCTAGCCCACCTGTCCAGGGGGCAGTCATTACTCACCTCCACTGATTGTTGCTATTTTAGGAAAGCAAATCCTTTAAAAAAAATTATTTTTCAGGAAACTCTGGAAATCTGTTTTAATACTATAGCTTTCCTTCTAAATATTGGCTACTAATGAATACTTTAAAAGTACTACATGCCGCTGGGCACGGTAGCTCACGCCTGTAATCCCAGCACTTTGGGAGGCCGAGGTGGGCAGATCACCTGAGGTCAGGAGTTCAAGACCAGCCTGGCCAACATGGAGAAACCCCATCTCTACCAAAAATAAAAAATTAGCTGGGTGTGATGGCGCATGCCTGTAATCCCAGCTGCTTGGGAGGATGAGGTAGGATAATTGCGTGAACCCAGGAGGCAGAGGTTGTGGTGAGCCAAGATCTCGCCACTGCACTCCAGCCTGGGCAACAAGAGCGAAACTCTGTCTCAAAAAAAAAAAAAAAAAGTACTGCATGCCAAACAGAACAGCCCCACAGACTTCTAGTCTGTAAAGAAAGAAGGAAGAAAAAAAAAGGGCGGTAGGATTCAAAGTTAAGAAAAGGTAAAAACATGTGGTGTGCCTACTTCATGGGAAAAAAAGCTGCTTTGATGATTCTGCCTTTTTATTTTTATTTTTTTTGGAAAAATTTTTAAAACTTTATTGTCTTTTTAAGTTTTTAGATGATTTTCTTCTTTCCTGTTATCTCCTTAGCCTGATACCCTGCCTTATCTTTAGGAAAAAAATGCTCCTGATAATAAATACAAAATGTAGTAAACTCATTTGTATTAACATGTAAGATTCTGTTCAAAACCCAGTCTCATTATAGGTCACTCTTCAGCACCCTCAGCTGATTACCACACTGGCTAAATTAAGGAACTTTAACATCTTAAACAGCTTTCTCAAGATTACCATTTTAAATGTTCCCCACTCTTGGCTGGGTGCTGTGGCTCATGCCTGTAATCCCAGCACTTTAGGAAGCCAAGGTAGGCAGATCACTTGAGGCCAGGAGTTCAAGAGCAGCCTGACCAACATGACAAAAACACATTCTCCACTAAAATTACAAGAATTAGCTGGGCGTGGCGCTGTGTGCTTGTAGTCCCAGCTGCTCTGGAAGCTGAGGCAGGAGAATTGCTTGAACCTGGGAGGCAGAGGTTGCAATCCAGCCTAGGTGACACAGCGAGCGCGAACCTGTCTAAAAAAAAAAAAAGTTCCTTGCTCTTACATATTTTTCAGACTCAGGGTTTTCGGATAGTACTTTTTGGCTAGACACACCAACTGATTATTTAACTGAGTGTACAGTGATAGCCAGCAGCCTGGGCAACAAAGCAAGACCCCATCTTAACAAAAAATAGATCACCGTATAGATGGTGGTGCGTGACTGTAGTTCTAGCTACACAGTAGTTTGAGGATCACTTGAGCCCAGAAGTTCCAGGCTGCACTGAGCTATTATCTCTCCACTGCATGGCATGCTAGATGACAGCGAAACCTTATCTCTAAAATAATAATAATTGTTATTGGCCGGGCGCGGTGGCTCAAGCCTGTAATCCCAGCACTTTGGGAGGCCGAGACGGGCGGATCACGAGGCCAGGAGATCGAGAGACGATCCCGGCTAACACGGTGAAACCCCGTCTCTACTAAAAAATACAAAAAAACTAGCCGGGCGAGGTGGCGGGCGCCTGTAGTCCCAGCTACTCGGGAGGCTGAGGCAGGAGAACGGCGTAAACCCGGGAGGCGGAGCTTGCAGTGAGCTGAGATCCGGCCACTGCACTCCAGCCTGGGTGACAGAGCAAGGCTCCGTCTCAAAAAAAAAATAAAATAAAATAAAATAAAATAATAATAATTGTTATTATTATTATAACAATAATCCCAGCACTTTGGGAGGCTGTAATCCCAGCCTGTAATCCCAGCACTTTGGGAGGCTGTAATCCCAGCCTATAATCCCAGCATTTTGGGAGGCTGAGGCAGACGGATTGCTTGAGCTCAGAAGTTTGAGACCAGCCTGGGCAACAGCGAAAACCCACTTCTACAAAAAAAAAATTTAAACTTAGCCAGGTGTGGTGGTGTGTGCCTGTATTCCCAGCTACTTGGGAGGCTGAGGTGAGAGAATCGCTTGAGCCTGTGGTGAGCCTTGATCACACCACTACACCCCAGCCTGAGTATCAGAGTGGGACCCTGTCTCAAAAGAAATTCTTTTTTCTTTTTGTGAAGGTTTTTCTGTTTTGTTTTGTTTTGTTTTTTGTTTTGTTTGAGATACAGTCTCACTCTGTCACCCAAGCTGGAGTGCAGTGGCACGATCTCAGCTCACTGCAACCTCCACCTCCCGGGTCCAAGTGATTCTCCTGCCTTAGCCTCCCGAGTAGCTGGGACTATAGGCACATGCCATCATGCCCAGATAATTTTGTTTTGTTTTGTTTTTTGAGACGGAGTCTCGCTGTGTTGCCCAGGCTGGCGTGCAGTGGTACAATCTCGGCTCACTGCAAGCTCCGCCTCCCAGGTTCATGCTATTCTCCTGCCCCAGCCTCTCGAGTAGCTGGGACTACAGGCGCCCCGCCACCAAGCCCGGCTAATTTTTTGTGTTTTTAGTAGAGACGGGGTTTCACCTTGTTAGCCAGGATGGTAATTTTGTGTTTTTAATAGGGATGGGGTTTCACTATGTTGGTTTCACTCCTGACCTCAAGTGATACACCCGCCTTGGCCTCCCAAAGTGCTAGGATTACAGGCGTGAGCCATCACACCAGACATTTTGTTTTTTCTTTTTGAAGTGGTTTATTTTATTTATTTATTAATTTATTTTTGAGACAGAATCTCTCTCTGTCACCCAGGTTGGAGTGCAGTGGCGCAATCTTAGCTCACTGCAATATCCGCCTCCCAGGTTCAAGTGATTCTCCTGCCTCAGCCTCCGGAGTAGCTGGGATTACAGGCGTGCACCACCACACGCGACAAATTTTTGTATTTTTAGTAAAGATGGGGTTTCACCATGTTGGCCAGGCTGGTCTCGAACTCTTGACCTTAAGTAATCTGCTCGCCTTGGCTTCCCAAAGTGCTGGGATCACAGGCATGAGCCACTGTGCCCAGCCAGGTTTTAAAAGAGTAAAAACATTAAAACATAATAAAATAATAATTAAAACAAATGAATTAAATTAAAGCTATCACCCAGAGAGTTTGGTACCTACCTGGGTCATGATGATAATGTAATATAGCTCCCATGTGGAGCTATGTTCTTTGGGGCTGGCCCTGGAATAGCTGATCTCCACGAGATAACCTGCAAAGTGCTGTTAGCTTTGTTTGGAGATGGTCCAGCATTATGGAATATGTTGTACCTGAGTGATGATATTTTGAGACAGCTCTCTCAGTTGCCATCATTTTTCCAGTAA